TGTTTTATTTCCCGTGACTTTTTGCCTCTTCTTAGAGAATGAAGACATATATCGTACACGTGTTTTTGATTACATCTCAATTATTAATGGTTGGCGTAAATTGGACGATCCTTGAACCACCTCGAACATGACTGAATAGATAACGCGGCAATGTCGTCGTTAAAGTCCATTGCACCGGTCGCCGAAGGCAAGCTCGCGCTTCGAGCGCGATTCGTTCAATCCGTGCGTGTACACCAATCGAAAGACAAAGTGCATCCCCGAAGCTACAAGACTGCACGAAATTAATACGGAACCGGCTTTACAGTAGGGACGTACCGCGATTCGAAGCGCAGGGAAGACGGCGGAACGAGATGCAGATATCCCGAAGCACGGCCAGGAGCCGCAAGTCGTTTTCTCGTCCTACCGGGGGAGAAGCGTACCGGTTCTTGCGCTGAATAAATGGGAGATGCTCTACCATCTTGGGTTCCCATCGCTCGCGCCAGAAGATAAACATCAGCAGCAGCAGCAGCGGCAGTCGCAGCTTCAGCACCAACAGCACGGTAGCCAGAGGGACCTTCGTAATTAGCCGTGCTTGCGTGTCTCTTCTTTTTCTCGAGTTAGAAATACCGCTTCGAAGACTGCAATGGTATCTGTTTATGAACAGCTCGCGAATCGATCAAAGTTCTTTGAAGATCGCCGGATGACCGAACTATTTCATAGAAGCTGCCCTGCGGCTTTCAGACGAAAATACACCGGCGATAGGAGACCGGAAAGCGGAAGGAGGATCTCACCGTTAACTTTTGCGCTTCGAGCGGAAAATATTGGAATGTCAAAGAAGCGAGACTTATTACGGTAACTTTGTGAATTAATAAGATTTGAGTAATAAATTACGTATCGGCCAGAGAGTTCAAAGTTTATCAAAAGATGAATCGAATCCTTAATAAATCCAGCAAAGGAGGCTAAGATGATAAAGTCGTAGGAAGAAGCGAATAAAAATCACCGCGAATGATAGAGAATACAGGAAGGAAATTTAATGAAAAAGAGCTTGATTCTATATCCAATTTATAAATTGTTTCAATCAAGAAACTTTTAATACAGTAGATACTATCATTACAAATACACGAAATTATACAAAAAATATGCAAATTTATGCAAGTTGATCTATTTAGAAATATAATAATTCTTAAAAATTTGTTAATTATGTATTATTATTATTTTACAAATTTTGTTAATCTTATTAATCTTTATATTATCTCATTTGAACGATAGTGTAAACGCCGTATGGCGATTTTTTCGCGTCGACGATCGCGTCTCCCCAGGAAGGGATACAAAAATAAGTCGCAACGTGTTCCAGCAATTACGCGAGGACGACTTCGTCGAGTTTTAATTTGCCTGCGCGAACACTCGAGACCGTCGCGTGTTCGTGTGCGCGCTTTCCACGAATTCACGCGCAAATTTATGCGCCCGAACGATGGAAACAGCGCTCAAAAGAACGCCATGCCTGCTTCTCCTACGCTCGCCGTAAATCTCGTCGTCCGAGAATTGTGCGTTTCCTCGCGAAAGACTTTGAGCGTGATTTCTCTACGCCCGTTCGTCGGAATTTCTGCAATTTTACGAGCCAAAAATCCGTGAATACAAAGTGCATGTTTTCATCGTTCTCTTTCGATAAATGTTTATCGAAATTGTACATTCAGTTTACGAAAACCCTCTGCCTTCACACTTACACATTTTGCGAGTTCGTCAACGATACAAATGACAGTGATTGTCAAGTGAACGAATTTGAGCGAACTCGGTGTCTTAAAGCTTCGCGAGGCTTCTTGTTTTTTTACACCTCAATCGTTTCGCGAAAAGAAATTCTGGTGCCCGTGTATGCAAAATTTTTACTTTCTAGTTTCTCGAGCTCTTTCTTTTTTTCTACATCGTCGAAAACTTCTCGACGAGAAAATGACGCGTTTTCCGCCGCGGTTAAAACCGTTCGCGAGCGACGAAGGGGAGGAGGGGAGAGAGAATCGAGCTTGGATGCGAATTTTTCGCCCGAACTCAAGAGTTCGTCGACGAACGGCGTTTAACGATCCGGAAACGTTGTAAGTGTGGAGATTAAAGCGTGTATTCGTACATGTAGCTGCAGATCTGTGCGCAACGGTACTTTCCTTCCTTCTCCCATTCACACTCCCTTCGGAATGACACGTTAGGAACGGAGCCAAGCCAACTCTAGAATGTGCTATAGGAATACTTCCAAATGGGAATACTTCTCGTGGCTTTTAATTTAAGTTTGAATTTCAAGGAAAATAATTATCTAACCGAATGGCGCGAAACACGAACAGCTTTTATTGATTAAAGCGCGTGGTTTAACTATTCATTAAAGAATACAAATTGCACGTGGACGTATAAATAAAACAGTTTGCTACAACCGTAAAGACAGATAATCCCTCGGCAATATCTCATCAATATCTCGAAATTGTCGCATTTATTTACGAGCTCGCCGAGATTAATAAGCTCGGAAGAATCCGCTGTTCACGCTTCGAACATGCATCGAACGTAATCGGTGCGGCATGATTGATTCGCTGATTCGTCGAACAAATTCATGTGTATTCACTCGTGAAATACGCTCGCGAGCCGTACAAGCGGATGTAGCTTTATCTAGGCCCCATCATTCACGTTAATTCCACTTAAGCACCGATGCACCTGGCTCGCGAGCTCAACGACGCGACGAGCGCACGATGCACTCGGCAAAAATGAAGAGACGAATGCCATGCAAATCGAGCATTGGAAGTGCGGACAAGGGCACCTTATCCGGCGGCGCATAGTGGAACCGAGTGGCCGAACGCGGCGATGCGGCGTTCGAGCGAATGAAAGATGGCAGTGTGCGTATTGTAGAAGGCCGGAACAAACGGGCTACTAAATTCATATGATTTCTTCTCCGTTCCCAGGCGGAGGTTCGCGTGGTTTGCGCCGGGCGTTGGGTTGGCGCCGGCGTTGAATATTTGTGCCGGCATAAATGTTTGGCTAAAGATAGAATTTCGAAAGGAAATTTATTCGCGAGAGAAACAGTAAAACCCTATCGACGTCGCCTTCAGAAGGACAATTATTTCAAGCGCGAACGGGGAGGGCTGAAATAATTAAAGGAATATTAATAAAGATGCAAGATGTGCTTGCCTCGAGCGAAAGTGCATATAAATTCAGATATGTGGACATAATCAACTCTCCGTAATTACGAGCAAATGATTAAGCTCCTCTATTTGAAGTATGCCCGCCAGGTACCAAGAGCTCAACGTTCTCCTTCGTTCTCCTAACAATAAGTTCGCACGAAGCGCAGATCAATAGTGCAATTAGTTTGCGCAATTATTCTCCGGATATTTTTTATTTTTAATTACATTATATTTGCGGTGCATAATGTGTAATTTGAGATGACGGGCAATTTTGAAATGCTATTATTCGGGCTGACACGGTCGCTGCAGGGAATGTATCTCGCGATGGCAAAGTCATGAGAATACATTAGCGCGAGCGTGCAGTCACGACGAGATTATCCTCAAGCCTAATGATTAATTGTACGTCATGATTGATCTAATCATCGGCTCAGAAACGAATGCCGTCTCGGACACAATCGGCCGAACGAGCTGGGCGGTTAGAGGTTGGCTGCACTCTGTGACCTTAATTACTATGTCGACTAATCGATCGCGCGCATTGTGATCGTACTATGCTCGACACTGGTACCGGCATACGCAATCACTTCGCGCTGAATAGTGTCTTAATTGCTGGTTGGATAATCCAATTCAGCCACTTAATCGATTATGACCGTCCATGGAGCCATCGTGTTCGCAAATTCTCGAATTTGGATTAGCTATCTGACGCGACAACAATCCATGGATTTCTATTCAGACAATTAGATAAACGTGACTACTACAAGCTTGTTTCTCATTGAATAACATAGTCTCGATTATAATAAAATCCTTGACAAAATAGAAAACGCTGCAACAATAAACTATCTCTAATTCTTTCGATAATATAATTTTATTTCTCGTACGCTTTGTTTTTCAGTTCTAGAGTATAAAATTCATTAAATTCGTCTCAAAAAACATTAGTAGAAAATCGAATCGGCTTGAAAAAATATTTGTCACTTATTTTAGGATTTCGATTTGCGATCAGACACTGTGATAAATCCCTGAGATCCACGAATCCTTGATCGCTTGTAGCGCGATATAAAAACGTCGGCAGCCGCGTCTACCGCCACGGATATTTTCGTCGTGAAATAACGAGTCGTAGTGGAAGGATTCCCTAAACTTGGCAGATAAGCATCGGGGAACGGCCGGCGGCAGTCGAAGAAACCCTCCTGTTAATTAGTCCAAAAAGTAAAGATCTCTCTCGTACGGTTCTCCCTCGCTTTTCTTTCCTGCGTTACGCGCCACGACGGCACCGCCGTGAATAAAATACAGTCTCACATTCCCCCCTCCCCCACCTACCCCGCGAAACCCATCGTATTCCCGACTATCCGGTGCACACGAGTTTGCGCCCCTCGCATACGAGAGAAGAACCAGCCGGAGAGCCCTACGGCGTTCTCCGTAGTTCTTTCTCGCGCTCGTATCATCCTCTCGTCGCGGGCCTCTCTTTTTCCGTCTCCTTCTCTCGCGTCGAACGGCCGATCCTAATCTCGATAATGACGCGTAATGGCTGCTGGCGTGAATGTAGCTCTTTGTCCGCGGCTCCTGTACCGGTCGTATATCTGTCCGGTACGAGAACCGCGCCATTTCACCCCGTCGAAAGGCACGGGGGAGGCCGAAACGGCCGTTTCGCAGACTCTTTTTCTACGTCCACGTCGCGTCCCCTCCTTCCTCCTCCCCGCCCTTCCGGCCCCCCTCGTCCTTATCCCCCTTCCAACCCCTCTCCACGCTCCAATCTCTATGCTTGGCAAGACGCCTTCCCGGGAATTACGCTTAATCACTCTGTTCTGTGTAGCGTCGGGACTACGAGCCATTTGTACGTATGTGTGTGTGTGATTTTATTTTGGAACTTTATTTTTGCAGAAGCGGTTATGAGAGTTCGATGACCACGGGCCCGCGGACCATCGACGCTACCATGGACTACCTGCAGACGTGCCTCATCTTTTACCTGCTGATCCTCTGCTTCTGCGGCGGACGTTCCATAGACATATGTGAGTAAACATGTCAATTAAGGGAATCCGATTAGGAATGAGGCACTTTCAAACTGCATATATTTCTTAATTTATAATAATTATTGATAATCAATTCGATGATCCACTAAAACACATTACATTCTCAATTTAATTACTTTCTACAAAAAAAACCTTACGAGAGATTGATATAATAACTATTTTATTTTTAAATATAAAACAATTTTTGCAATGATATCGTACAATTTCGCGATAAATAATAATATAATTATGTAAAAATCGGATTAAAGGATTATAAGATAAGCGCATCATTACGTTACATCATTAATGATGCGCGACATTTCGTTTAGCAAGAGTCTCTCTGGAAAATCAGGAGATGGTAGTAGCGGAATCGCGGTAGAAATACGTGTTTACATCCAAGGCTGTAATTCTACCCTAAATGGGTGCCTCGGCCACCCGCGGTTTCACCCGATAAAAACAGAAAGGCCTCCCTCCGTACCGCATTGCCCTTTGCCTTACATTAAACCTCAGGCTCGGTTTCTACTCGGCTTGGTTTCCATCCCATTGACTCCGGCAGCCCGAGCCACCCCCGTGTCAGGTAAACAGGGCGAGAAACTTGCAAAGTATCCACCAAGAGTTCCGAAGTCAGCCCTGGGAAAGGCTTTTAGGTACTCGTTCGTGAAATCGAGCTCGAAACTTACGTATACGGGACGTATTTCGCACCCGAAGAATTTCTCGAGCAGTACCGAAAGATGGATCGTGATGGTCTCGATTCGGTTACACTGCAACGCGTACCATCCTTTTCCCTGGATAAGTGAGTAGATTCGAGTTATACAGAGTACGTGCATAAGCATAAAGTTTCCAGAATAGATACTTTCTATGTATAAGCGCGAAACTGTTTTATCATGCATCACTATCACATCATTTTCAATTTTTTTAGATTAAATTGTAGACTCACAAAGGTTCTAGCGTCTGAATTATTAAATAAAAGCTAAAAGTGAATCGGCTACTGGGGGAGTCCTTGACAAGCTTCATCGCCGAGTATAAAGTCTATAAGTGGACGGTAATCGGCTTAACGCTTTAAGGCTAAATATATCTGTACAACGACTATTACGAGGACATACTAAATCAGGAAAGTTGATGTTACCTTCCAACTCTTGGAATCTATGCGCCATACTACTATTCAACCTCAAAGCCGATACTTGGGTTAGCTTTGATCCCGCTTATACTTATACTTGAGCGTTTCGATGTAATCCATGAAAACAACTATATATAGCGCGAACTTTGCTAATTAAATTCTATCTAGTTATCAAAACAGCTCAACATAATGCTTTGAGATAACAAGCAAAGCAACACCGATTAAAACAGCAAGATTATACACGAAAAAAAGAAAATTTAGCATACAATTAATTTAAATATGACATACAAAATAACAGTCTATCAATTAAACAGATTTTTAAGAAAAGCATCAAGTACAAAAATATTATTTCAAATACTTTTTTATTCGTGCGTAAGAGCTAGGAACGAAATAAACTTTGAATTTTCTCGACTTGGAACCCAATAGAACCGCATTTTGAACACCGGTGACCGGAAGATCCTTTCCTAAGTGGACATACTTTGGACGGAAAAAGCGCGAAACGGCGTGAATATAAATAGCCCCCCTCCCCCCAGGAAAGTTGGAAGTAGACCGCCAAGGGGAGACGATCGGGGAGGGCCTCCCGCGGTGACTGAACTTGTACACATTGAGCCGCGTTGGTGAATTCGCGGTCGTGTTAAGCGAGCCGGTCAGCCGTGGCAGGACCGAAGGACAGTTGTGGGACGCTGGAAGGGCTCGCCGAGCAGTTAAAGCGCGCATAAATTGCAATGTTAATGTTGCCGGCAATACATAAACATGTTGCACGTCGGTCGGATTGCGGTGTCTGCGCGTGTTGCACCCTCTAGGCTGCTCCTGCGCTGCGTGCCTGCGTGCGTACGTGCGTGTGTGCGGAAGGGCGCGTACGGTTTCGCGTGCACCGAGGGCGATTGGTGTGCACATAGACGCGTGCCTAGAGCGGCCATTGCCGCTTGCGTGTGTATTAACGCGCCCGCGATTCGGTGTTGCGTAATTGCGAGGCCAACGCGAACGCATACGTCTATACGAGCGGACGAGTGCGCTGACGGCGGGGCGATAGGATAGGAGAGGTAATTATACAGATGCGTCATCTCTCTCCGGGAAAGAAGGGACGTGTGTATCTGACGTGGCGAAATTTACCGTACGTGACACATGTGCGGCGGACGATCATTTTTTTTCGCGTTTCGCGCGAGATTCATTGTTAACGGCCACTGCGATGGCATAGCTAATGATGAAGCCAAGGACGTGTGTATTAATATGACTACACCTCTAAATAAATGACGAACATAAGTATGCGAGTACATTGCAATTTATTAATTTTAATAATTATAAATTAACACGTATATAATGCATATGTGTGCTTGTGCATGTGTGCACGTGTGTAGAAATAACGCATTTGTGTATGTTGCGGCATCGAAAACAGACGGTAGAAATGCACCCGGGGAGAACCGTCACGCAATCGAGTTCTCTTGCGTTATAACATTGTCATCCCTCTATTACCCTCTCGATCCTCCTTCCAATTATCTGTAGATCCATTAGGCTTTAGCATGATGGTGACGAAATTATTGCAGGAGTCTTCAACATATTAACATAACAATGCAGCAATTATTGCCCTTCGTCTGCGCTCTATCGTCAACTTGCACAAATATAAAAAATTCGTAATATAATTAAAAAAATATTATGAATTAAAAAAACTAGTCTCCAAATAAAAGTGACATTTTTCTTTCTTTAAATATCTAAGAGTATTAATAATAAAAATGTAAATTATAAAATATATTAAAATGAATAATAAAATATATTAAAATGTATTGTTACATTATTGTACATTTTTTAAGAAATTGAATAATGTATGTACAACTATTTTGCATAATTTGAATCGGATATATTACAAATTTGCGTACAAAGAGTCTTCAGATTGAGCCATCGATATTTTCGCGAAGCGTAATTACGTAATTGAAGCGATACATGATTAGGAGGCATGTGAGAATTAATAGATTATTTTTACAGTCATCTGCGAATGCACAAATATACTCTCACAATCGTATACTCTTCGTAGATACACTTATCAAAACATACCCCGGTTATCATTACAACTTGTCACTCCTTTGTACACTCGGTGCAGGCATTAATACTGGCTGACAGCTTCTGCAGGGCTTGTTTGAAAGGCGCGATTATTCGTACGACAAAGACACCGCCGACACTTTCCGCACGTGTACATCGTATGTCTCTCGGATATAAAATCCCCGCGACGTAAACATTCCCAAGCCGGTATTCCGACATCTGTTTCTTACCCTCGCGCAGACTCCGATCTCGTCGTTCGGCTTGATCGCGCGCCAGAACCCGACAGTTTACGCTCTCGCCTGCAAACGTACGCAAACTTGAGATCTCCACGTCCCTAACGACTCCGGATAAATCGCCTCGAGTGCAATCGACTTAACCCCGCGTCTCATCGTCGAAGGCGCAGCCTTCGGGTATTCATTCTCGACGAACGAGGATGAATCGGGAGAATCAAGCGGGATTGACACATTGAAAGGACGTCAGCTGGGCGGGAGACGTCGAGCGAAATAATCCTCGGCTTTCCGCGCTGCCACGATCGCGCGACTCTTCCATTTTTCGGCGATATATCTCGCAATCGCGTTCGTCGCGTCGAAATATACGCGAGCGAATGCGATTATCGCGAGTCTCTGCCGCGTCGCGATAAACCCGTTCACGTCTCGTTGCGATCGACTCGAGAGCGACGGCGCCCCGACAGCATTGCGGAATGTATCGAGCAACGAATCCGAGGGACGTCTCGTGCTTGACGCGTTGAAAGGACGTCAACTGTCAGACGTCGACGTCGAGTGTAATAATCCCCGACTTTCGGGTTCGAAGGGCGCCCGTCAATCCGCCGCGCAGATCTGTATTTTCATAAGACCAACCCACGAAAGCAAACACCGCGTGCCCGGTTATACGAGCACGAAGGGTTCGGGTCCCTAAAACTCTTCGCACATCAACTGGGAAAGAATTAGACGACGCGAAAGGCGAAGAAAGGCTTTCTTTTCTTAAATGACGCGCGTAAAACGTGTCTTCGCATCTTCAAAAAAAAGTACTAAGACTTTGCGAACTCTTAAATTCTAAAAACTATGCAACAGACGAGCATGCATAATCATGTATTATAAAAACAATACGATTATTATTATTCGTTTTCCGTTTTACAAAATTTTAAAGAGATCAATACTTAAATAATTCTTCTTAATTTTTTAAATATTTCCATAATTTTTTTATTTTATAATTTTTAAAACTAAAGACACTTAACAGATAGTTTCATAAAGAAGCAACTCAATATATAAAGTCTCTATCTCTTCTGACATTTATTAACATCAGTCACACATTAGCGAATAAAACTTAGTTAGTTTTGATAAATCCAGGCCATAAAGGCACAAACCCCCGTACAAAGGGGTTGCACTTTCAACCCTCGGGGTCTAAGTAACGCATGCAACTCGAGACGGTGATTTTCAGTCCACCATGGATAACGCCTAAGGGGGTTCCAAGGGTGAAACGGCCGCGATGTGGAGAAGGGCGCAGAAACGGTGAATAGCATAGAAAGGGCAAGATAAAGGGAGAGAGAGAAACCTCAGGAAAGTAGGAGGGACGAAAGGGTCGTGTAAAAGTAGTACTTCCGTTCTGCCAGTCGTCGCGGCGCCAGGGGGACGGGCATGCGCATTTTCGTCGAGGCAAGTTACCTTCTGCTTAGAACGAATGTTTGTTTTCTCTGAAAGAGGCGAAAATGGCTCCCCAGAAGGCCCGAGGAAACCGCACTCGGTCTTCATGGCCATACGAAAGAGTACAATGCGTTGTCTGGTTGAGGGACGAGCCCGAACGCAACTACTTTCGAGGTCGATGCTCTTACAAACATTCATTCTAATTTCGCCGATGCTCGGAAAATGGGTGCGGTATCGTAGTCGAAAAGGAAAACATTGCGGCAGGTTATCCACCTGCTAATTTCGTTGAACAAACATTACGAACTAAACGCCGTCGCAATGAGCCGCACTAAAAAGGTGATTATCCCCAACACACACAGAAGATTAGATGGTTTCCAAGTTACATGTTACCTAAGAAACTTGAACAGAATTACATTTCAATGTTAAAATAAAAATAATATATAATATATATACGGTGTATATATAATATATATAATGATGTTTATGTCTATAAGAAATTTTTTCAATCTATTATCTGGGTTTATTTTTATTATAACATCTTATATAAATTAGACAATAATTTAAATTTTTGTAACAGGGTGATTTAAAGATATACAAAAGGCAACTCGTATATTATGATTAGTCGAGATATTTTGATGTAAAAAATAAAGATCGAGTTAACCCGAGAATTAAGTGCGAATCATGATTTATGCGCTAATATCGCGCTGCAATGAAATGGGGAATTTTAATATATTTTTCGTGAAAGAGCCCCGGTGTGTAATTAATTTACATTCGCGCTCGACGAGAGAAGTGTGAGCGAACGTACCGAGAGCCGACCGCGACTTTGCCGTCATTAATAATAATCCTGGAATTAACAAAGGAAGGGCGATGCGAATTATTAAATTCACCGAGATAGAAAAGCCCTGTTTTGTTGGCATCTACCCTCACCACATTTCCTCTATCTTTCTTTCCTAATTTGCCGAGGGATTCTTCTGTGCAATTTGCTTTGCTATTATTACAAAAGCTGAGCTAATTACTCATCGTATTCGTCTACCAAAGACTGTATTTTTGACTTCATCCGGAATATGGGAAATTATACGAGATGCTTGCAGATCCACAACAAAATTTATGCCTTGTATAAAGTTGATCATACAAATGATAAGCGTTAATAATTTTTTGCAAAACCATAAAAATTTCCATATAATTAAGCTACAACCCGGTACATGTTAAATTATTAAAGTCAGTCTCGTCTAAAATAGATAAAGACCTGAGTCTGTTAAAGGTTAATTCAGAACCATTCTCATTGTTAGCCGCTTGAAGGAGTGGTTCGCTGTTCAAGTGCAATGTGAATACTTCGCCAGAGAGGACAAATGACGGCAGAGAAGGAGATCCATGCTTGTAGAGAGGAGATTTACGATATTGCGCAATTCGTAGATCTCCCTAGCGGATCGCGCGCAGCCCTCATCGTCGTCTCGACTTGAATGTGAAAGTGTCTGTTTCACTGTCGAGACATTTCAATTACCATTTCGATATTTCAAGATTTGCGAAAAATCCTTTAGCAACTCGACTTGTAGAGAAATACACAGAGGAACATACGAAATAATAGCGAAAGAAAGGCGGATACGCTCTCGTGGAAGAGTCTCAGACTATCGCGTAACAACAAATATACAAGCAACGGTACCAGATATACACGGCGAAAGAATTTTTCCCGGAATTTATTACGGATTTTTCCATTACACTTTACGTCGCCTAGGAACGTATTGCGTACGTTCTTCCCCGGTACAGGCGCGGCTTGTTCGTCGACCGTTTCGTGGTTGTCTCGGGTTTCGTGGAGAAGCCGTCTCTGGAAAGAAGCGGTTATCAGTTTGACAGTGACGCGGTTAAGGGAGGAGAGCGGGAATGTGCGGGCGAGAAGACGGAGAGAGCGATGTAGGACGCGCCGAAGTGGGGTTGCAAAGGCATTCAATTTTCCTCTTCTCGCGGACGGAGGGCGGCACACACCCTTCCGTTCGGAGCTGTCACTCCCCGAGAGTTATGGTCGCCGAATGAGTGGCTGGGGCGGGCCAAACGTCGCATAACTTACTTCTTCGTCTTCTTCTTCTTCTTCATCTTCCCCCGGTCCCGCGCGCTCTTTTCCAGGATGTCTATAAATACGAGAATCGAACCTGCCTGCTTACCCCAGCTACTCGTACAGAAGCGACGAGGAGGGCCTCTCGTTACCCGCGCTTGGATGCTGCGCGTCGCGAGCCGCATCGGGCACGTACCGGAAGGAGCGCGACGCGACAACGATCGATCTCCGGGAATCTTCGGGATCGTGCGCCGAGTAGCGCTGATTATACCAGAGACTTATTTGTCTGAATGCGTTTTTTGCCCCTTTAAAGAAACTCGAGGCGTTCGGTCTCCTCGGAGGTATTTTTAGCCGATGCAGAGTTTGACGATAATTACCGGAAATTCCCGCGTAATTGTTTCCTCGTCTCTCGAGACGTTGAAAGTGTAGTAAAACTTTATAAATTGTTGTTTCTTGAATTTTTTGTCGTCGTATATATCTGTTTGAAAAATAGGCGACTCGATTTTTCGTTCGTGACTCAAGAGAACGCCAAGTATAATTGGTTATAGTTTACAGAAATATAAAATGGAAAGAAATGCTTCTTCAATTTTCTCAGTATCATTTTTGTAAAATTTTTATTTTTTTATCTGCAACTTGAATAAATATCCCATCATTTTTAAGAAATATGATATTTTTGCATATATAATATAAGTTATGCCTTCCATTTTTTGCATTGAAATCAATAATATATTCCAAAACTTACAATATTGTTGGAAATATTATTAGAAAATTATATTAATATTATTTAAAAATATTGTTAGAAATCAAATATTCGAAGAACGCTTTATAGATTCCCTCTCTTATTCTACAGGTTGTCTCGTGTGCAACAAATTTATTAATCTTTATTAATCTTCATTAATTATTAATCAGATTAATAAAGATTAAAAATCTATGAAAGCAAATAAAAAATTTAATTTTGAACACTTCTGTGATAAATTTTTAGTTCCTTTTTATCGCAGATAAATTTGATATTTTCGACAATGTTTGAGCAGAATGTAAGAAATGTTTACAATCCTCTTATTTACGTCAGATATCTTTTCGGTGCCAGACATCCGCGACGATGAAGAAAGAAGCGGTCGGAAGAAAAGTTTGTGGATTTAAGATCGTTGGACGAATAAACGAGCTCGATAATCGTTGACGGTTCCAACGATGGCTCAGGAAACAGCTGTCGTTAGGGTCATTCGGGGATTGAATTTTCCACTCGGATTTATCGAGTTTACCAAAGCGATTTCTTGCTAAAGAGCTGTATATCATTCGCTCGTTTCCCAGGAATCCTGGCGCGATCTTACGCCACAGATCTTATGCTAACAGATCTGCCCTCTTTGATCGCTCCACAAGGTACAACGGCCCCACTCGCTCGCGAGTGCCGCTTTGATCGCCGGCGAATATGTAATTTCGAGTCATCCGGTACTTATCTTTCTTCGATTCTCCAAATGGAAATCCGTTCTCGGTATCGCGTTATAAGCGCCGTAATTATCACGATGCGTCGACCGATAAAAACGGCGCTCCGGAGCGGCGCCTGCATTTGCCTTTTTCATCGTTTTCGTCCGCGCGGTATGCGGCATTGACCTCGAAAAAAGTAGCCCCACGTCGCATAATGAAAGTCTGATTAACTCCAGTCCTTGTCGAAAATACCAGCGAATGAGCGGCACGCTTGTAGAAAATCTTGTTTAAAACTTGTTGAAAATGGCTTTTAATAAGCAACGAAAAATTTAGACTAACGAGAGCGTATCGCTAATTCCAGCAAATTGATTTATCAATATTTATTATAATTTCTTAAGACTCCTTCTCTGACAGATATAATTTTCGTTACGAAATTTTAATTTCCGTTTACAAAGAAAATATATAATATGTATAATCGTTACAGAGAGAATGAGAAGGATAAAGAAAATTGTATTTTGTTTAATTTTAATTAATGTAATAAGAATAAAAAAGTTATAAAATAAAAATTAATACTCAACAAATATTCGTCGTTGAGGAAAAAGTGTCTCAGATTTCGCATCGCAAAGGGTATCGCGTTATTAGATTATTAAAGTTCCCTTGCACATACGAACGCTTAATTTTAACACATCGTCTAAAGTGGGCTTTACACGCAAGGTTTATATCGTTCATTTGTTCCCACTCGAGGCAAACATATAATTGAAGCAATTTCCTTTATTTGCAGCACAATGCATCGCACCCCTGGGGATGGAGTCGGGCGCAATTCCCGACGCGGACATCACTGCGAGTTCTAGCTTCGATAGCGGAAACGTCGGGCCGCATCGCGCACGGTGAGTGAATTACTGATTTGTTTATGCAGCGCGTCGCACACAAATCCGACGCGATACAAATCCGGAAATTTGATCATATTAACTCCGTTACGGGGACCGTGAAAAACTCACGGATGGCGACGTGCACCCGCATCGCGAGATACATCGGCGCGTCGCATGCGGCGATATTCGAATCAACTTGACCATTCATCGGACGCTATACTCGTCGAGTGCGCTGTCCATTAACTAAAAGCTTACCCGTGAAAACTTGCCGATCTATCTACCTCCAGCTCTAACTGGTTCTCGACGTGGCTATTTAAGACGCGATCCAGTGGGAGTCATCGTCCTCGTGGAACAACGATAGATCATCCACAAGTCGAACGACTCGACGAATCGCACGGACGACACGTCCGTCATCCTGTCCGTCCTCGGGATAGTCGACGATCGACCGGTCACAGCGTATATTAATCACGCTCTACTAAACTGCAACGTCTAATTCGGCCTTCAAACCGCAATGAGGATTAATGACGCGCAGCGTCCCGCATGCCGCAGCCATTTGTATCGGCCGTTCCAAAGCTCTTAGACGTCGTTAACGTGCCCGTCGCATACTCCTTTGATTATGCGTGTCAGCTAATTACCATTCCGGCGGGACAAACGCGCGGCGCGACGAGGGACGGATGTCCAAACACAAGGAGAATCATCGGGACCACCTACCGCGCTAATAAACTCGCACTCGCGCAAGACATTAACTCCACCGGTGCCCTTTCGCCCGTAATTGAAATTCTGCCGCATTAACCGAGCCGTGCGTGAATTTTCAATATTCCGCGGAGTGTAATCAACTCGTCACTATTAATCAATCATCGCAGCGCGAATATAAAATAAATTAATGCGTTAAATTAATCGCGAGTGCAGTCAGCCGTGGAATAATCGTCGGTTAATAGATAAAATAGAGATACGTTAGAGTCGGTAATAATAATCGATCACGTCATGCGAGTGCCCCTTCGCTGCAACGACGTCGATATCGTTCCTCCAGACCGCATTGTCGACTACAACTTCTTTGACGGTATTTTCATGGCTTCGTGATATTGCGGGCTTCCCGGCGAATACCCTATTTACCTATCCGCTTACCCTAAAATACTTCTATCTGCATATACGGAGATATATTGTAATCGAAAAAGCAGTTCTTTCTATAAAGGCTTAACGCGGAATCTTATAATTCGAATAATTTTCCTTCTTTTATAGAATTTGTAGACCACACAAATTCGTTGAAAAAAATTAACTTGCGCTTTTCACTTATCAATCTCACATGTACAGACAAATACATGCAAGTCGAAAAATATTATCCTCCCGAAGAAATTTTCTCGATCATTCAACGGCGCACCGAAAAGACTATTATCCTATTCACCTTAGAAAGGAATCATTTCTCCTCAGACAGTTCCAAGTCCGATCTCGAAGCGACGCGCATCCTTCTCGTCCGACAAACCATTCCTCTCGATAATCGGTCCCTCTGTCTAAGGACGCGCTCCGATTCCGCCGACGTGGCAGCTCGCAGTCCAAGTCGGAGTAATCGCCCGTTCAGAGATTTATCGCGGACCAAGAGCACCGTGCACGCGGAATGTCTTTGATGCCCCGGACTGTATCAAAGTGGCAGCCAGGCAGTTCGAGGTCTCTTAATGGGCTATGAGTTATGATCTTTCGCGGTGGTAGAATATTATTACTTTCTCTTTCTCGCTCGCGCTCCTTCCCGCATCCGTGGCGTTTCCATCCGTCCGTCACACGTTTTCTTTTACTCGCTCTATATACGTTTCGCTTCTCCTTCTCTCTCTCTCTCTTCCTGTTTTCTCACGCTACTGCAAAGTATCTTCCTTCTCTCTCTCTTACACTGCCAAACCACGTCGGAAGGTGCCCTTAAAGACACAGCGAGCCCTGGTCGACCGCTTTTACTGCCTTCAACGTCAAAGCAACACTTAAAGTTCTGACACTTCAGAAGGCGGTAGCTCACCTCTTTATTGCGCGAGAACATTTTTGCTCGACGCGCGTACACGAGTTTCGCCGCGGATTCATTTGGCTCCGCCACTCGCCTCTCCGATCTCCCCGCACTCCTCTTTTTTTATTTCTTTCCTTAAATTTTTCTTTGGCGAACAATTTTCGTCCTGTTTTTCGCACGCAAGATATCTTCGTGTAAGATTCGTGGAGAATTTCGTTCGAAATTCTCGAGGAAATGCTTTCGTAAACTTTTCACGGTTAATAAACGCGATGAAAATATTCACGTTGCATGCCTTTCACTCGGTATAATAAATATTAATATTATAATTAATATTACTCGGTATATAAATATTTAATTTTATTAATAAATGCTTAAGAAAAATAATACAACTTTGTGGATTATCGTAACGCGAATAGCGGCGTAATAATAATTTACGGCGAGTGAAGGAATCCGAAACAGATTCTCGTCGGTTTAATTTACGAGTAGAGTCATCCATGGCATATTATGGTACACGTGCGTATTTCACGGTCGTGGACAGAAGGAGAGCTTTTTAATGCCACAGGCGAGTCCGCGAAAGGTATCTGCGAATACAATTATTAGCCGGCTCTAAGTGGCTTCGTCGCTGTTCCCGCGACGGTGCCAGCTCATCTTTAATTCATGTCATCCGGGAACTCGGTTGGATCGATAAATTATAATTTCACTTCGTATCGCGCGTTGGCGAGCTGACGGTTATCCGTCAGACACGCGGCCGATCACGTATTTATACGATTTCCTTCGTGCAACGATGCCGATGTTTCCGCTCGCTCCCTAAACTCTTCTGTTTTCCTACGACCGTGATAACAATTATCTAATCAATGGATGCAGGCGTGAATCCCTCGCACCCTATGAATCCTGAACGAAAAGAAAACTTCAACTTTACAAAGTCTATATCCTACGTTCATTTCGTATTCGGTAATGTTTACGTAATTGTGAAATGCCATTTTCCTTTACACGCTCCGGTACAAAACTATAAACGAAGAATATCGCGAAACGAAATACGGTAAACCTCTCGAATTTACATGCAGATAAAAATGTATGAATCCGTAAAAGCATCCGCGAGACGGGAAAGTTCAGAGCTGTGCGCGTTTGGCGACTATTTTCCTTTTCACGAGGGATTCCCCCGGAGAAGCTCTCTTTCCCCTCGACGATCGTAGCGCGATAAGAAAGCGGGAAAGAGAAAATAAAGATCCGTAATCCCAGAGCAAATATTTATTCTTCCAGGCTGAAGCAGGAGAGCCACGGAGGTGCCTGGTGTCCGAAGCAGCAGATTACGGCGGAGCCGCGCGAGTGGCTCGAAATCGATCTTCACACGGTGCACATGATCACAGCGACTGGCACTCAGGGCCGTTTCGGTAACGGCCAGGGCGTCGAGTTTTCAGAGGCGTACCTGCTGGAATACTGGAGACCGAAACTGGGAAAGTGGATCCGCTACAGGAACTTTCGTGGCGAGGAGGTGAGTCTCCCTTCGATCTTTCTTTATGCGAATAATGATCGATGAATAGCGTGTCAAATAAAAAAATATAAGATCCGAATATCGAGGCTAATCCTTGAGAACAATAGCTGGTACAATCGAGGTCAGGAATATCCCGAAATAACGCGACATAGAATGATCGATGTAGATATTTATATAGATTGTAGGAGCAAATTGGAACGTATGAAAAGATTTATCAAGCGTATAGTCTGAGATTGCGAAATTTATTATGGATAATCTGCTGTCCTCGATATATCCAGTCGCGCAATTTACCACGATCGATTCAATCGTGTACACCTTATAGAAAGACATTTCGCCGAATGACTTAATTCGATATGACAATCCAAGCCGCGAGAGGGAGCATAGACAAAATACCGCGGTTAAATTTAGTCGCAGGCAATAAACGCGAGCGCGCGCGGATTATTAGGATGATTTGCAGTGGCACTCGCGAACATTATCTAAAGGATGACATTAACAAGACATAAATCTTTAATACGCCGCGCACAAAGTCTCTACGTGACGTAATTTATACACATTTATATACAGATATACTGGTAATCGTGGAACCTAAGTCTTTAATTAGCGTCGACCCGTAATAATCACCCGCTGCCGGCAATTTACTCGTTCGACGAAAATAAACGTCACGCAGTCGCAAAGTGAATTTCGGCGAAAGTGGTGAAGTTTGATGCGCGATCCGTGAATCTTCGTCAAACTAACCGGCGTAACGCGCGCCAAAATTAAGGGAATATCCGCGTGTGCATCTCGTAAAGTCACTCGTGTCAGCGCCTGGTACACCACTTATTTAACGCATTCCTCTGCACGCGCTTTACCTCGCGAAAATACACCTCGAGCGGACGACTCGCGTCGAGGAATGTCATCGATTTCCGAAACGACAAAAGGAAAGGAGCGACGAGCGTCCGGTCGTGTCAGGGTAACTTTCCTTGGGAGTTGGCAGGCGGGGTGGTGCTACGAGCTTATTTGTATAGCAGGGTGGATCAATAAAATGAGGGAAGGGAAGGTCGTAGCGTGCACGCGGGTTAGACGATTCCAGCTCACCTACATAGACGTACCTGTCTGAATACGCGAATTCTAGCGCACGTATTCGATGAAGGACGAACCCGAAAGGAAGAACGATCTCGAGTCGCATTTGCATGCAGCTGCGATGCCATTTGCTCTTTTACGTTATTATATATTATTTCTCTAGCACGCGCGGAGACTACGTACTCCTCTAACATTTCCATCTACGTATTCCTCAAAACCAGGGAATACATACTTTAAGGCACATCGTCAAGTATTAGATGTTAAAATTATGCGATTTTTAAGTTTTTTTGATGATATATCAACACTTGGATTTGACACTGATATCGTGAAATTTAAATTAAATATTAGTGTAATTTATTTTGATAAATATAATAAAAACAATTTATGAAAATATTTAATGTTAATTAAAAATTTGATTATTTTATTTTAGTAATATTTCTTTTATATTTTTATAAAGAAAAAGATTTAAAATTTGTAATGTCAACAATTATGCATTTATTTTTATTAATTTTCGCATAGCACAAGTTAAATAATAATATCGTAAAAGAGAAAAATAAAACGCTTGAAAAATATGCTTTATTTCGTGATATTCGCATCGCCTCGTATAATTTGCTTGGAAGCGCGATGTACCTGTTAAAGAACGGAAGAGGCCACCCAGAAAATAGCGGCGGTAGGGATAAACCTGCAGAAATTTGTGTCTCTTCTTCCCGCTGTGAGCTCCGCGATGTTCCTCGCTTAATTACACAACGACACTCGGCTTATCCGACGCATAATCTTTCTTAACAACCCGATCTGATATAGGCAACGTCGGTAGAAACCATGTGGTCCTGTCATCGCCCATATTTTACGGCCAACGATTATTAAAATTAATGTCATAAAATAAAACAATTCTTTTTAATATTCCCGCTAAAAGAATAGACGACGCGCATTTCTTGCCTTTATATTCTCGGCAACATCACTGATCATAATATAAGATATTAATAAATAACACTATATAAGACTAACATGGGACAACGCAAATGACGGAGATATTTATCATACATAAATTCATATAATCGCATTGTTCCGCCCATTGGGCGTTTTCTCTTAAATTAAGTCATAAGATATCTTATCCTTCACGACCTTTCGCGACGACACGTAACCATCAACGCCTCCTCTAAGACGATTCAGCTGACGGTAGCAGGCTACCGTCGCGGCCGATCCAAGAGCAACACACACGAGGCATTAACATAAAATGGGCGTTGGTCCCGTCCTCGCACCACTTGGTGTCGCTCGTTGGAATTCGCCTACGACGAAAAGAGTGACGAGAAACCGTGGCAACGGTCGAGGAATAATTTGAGAGACGATCGTTCGCCTCGGTTCGCTCGGCGGTGCTCGAGAAAAGTCTTTCGCGATAAAAGCAGACAGACCGCGCCGCATGCGGACCGGTATGCAACGCGCGTGGGCGCGAAGATAAATATCAGGATTACTTATTTTTCCTGGCGCACGTCTCAACGGCTCGTAAATGCCGTCGTAATTTGGCCTCCTCGCTCGATGTCGCGGGTTTTTCGGGAATTAAGATTCGCCGCACCTTCCTAGGCACCGCACGCAAAACCGAACACGTATTTCGTGTGAGTCATCTTTGTAGGAGAAAATTCGATAACGCGGTCGGTCGTGTCGCGAGCCAACGAAACTTGGGATATGAAATAATCATGCGCGATATATAAGCGGCGATATGAAATATCCAGTGGATTTTTCACCATCCGAGTCAAAATATTTTATATCGACGCATGAAATCTTTTTGAATATAAAGTGAAAAAGATAACAGATAAATCACGAAAACATTGCAAAATTGCAATGTACATTAGCGCGCACATAGTGAGAGATCTAAAACATATTCTATATTCATATAGAATTTTAAAGCTGCATCTTTTTTAGCATTTCATAGTTCGTATAATTAATTTTCGTAATAAAAAAAATTGTAGTCTCATTAATGCGATGTATGAAGATACAAGATATTAAAAGGCTCTTATAAATCAGTGAAAGCTGCTCGCTTTCGAACGCACGAAAATAACTTTTTGCTCCAAGTACAATCATTGAGAAGAAACAGGATGCTATTACGCACACTTTGTAAAGCTATACACGTAACTGTCAACCTCCGGAAACGCCCACGATGCGGTTCCGTCGCCTGGCAGAAAATTTCTCACGTGTCGATTCATTGTATTTGCCCATCCGACGCCTTGGTACCGTCCGTTTCAATGTGCTAAACATCGGGTACCGGTGTCGCGGTGCAAATAAAACGGTGTCAGCTACCGGCCCCAATTACCGCGCCACCCGGCGCGGAACGTGCCGGTTCGCGCGGTCACGAGAATCATCTTTAAACGTGTTTCCCATCGCAATCGTACTTCATTTCTAATAATAGAGAAAATATAAATATGCAAAAAAAAAATAGAAATAAAATATAAAACTTAACATGCAACTAACCGGATTGCCGGATATTACGATAAATAATAGACGGAAAAACAACGACAATAATTTTATATATTAAGTAATATATAGAGAAATAATATAATTATCAATTAAATTAAAAACAAGATTATTGGTTGGTAAGGTTTATTAAAATATAGTTTATTTACGAGCCCATAATGAAATTTCACGAAAATACTTCAAAGAGTTTCAGTATCTATTAAATGTTTGCTTGTACTTTTTTATCGCAAGACGAATGTCTATAATTAAATTCGGTCGCATATTGTACGTAGAATAGACCAAGTATATTAAACTGATTAATATCACGATATAATGGAAGAACATTATTTAACGCTCGACGAGCATAACCATAATAGGAACGAGCGTGTAAGGGGTGAAATAGAAAATAAAGGAGTGTTTGCACCTGTCGGGTTCACAACGGTGATGGTTACACGGTCACGTAACCGACCATACGTGAGAATCTCGCGCGAGGGAGTCAGGAGGCGCTAGCGAGATCATAAGTGGAAAATAAGAGGTCCTTTGTTCCAAAGGGCCTCTTCCCTCGACGTCGTCCGAGAAATTCCCGATCCTATCCGGCGATATATACGTTTCGACCATCGCTCGCGCGCTCGACCGATCGAATAGAACGAGCCTTGTTCTATGTGAGAGAGCGCGCCAAGCCTGAAATCACGCTGCGCAGAAATACTACGGTGCGTCGTGGCGCAATTTATATTACGGGCTAGCGAAAAATCTCGCTATCTCGCCGTCTGAATGTCCGTAAATGAGGCAAGGGTCAAGATGCTACATGGACGCTGATTCATCTCAGGCATCGGAGAAACCCGCGTTCTATCTATTCACTGATAACTTAACATGACGCGTAGCATGAATACTATCATTTGAACACATCGTATTATATTCCTTTCTGCCAATCGCTATCTGATATACATATCTATATATGTCGTTTGCATACAAGTTGGAACAATTTGCGAGTCTAACGGTACTATCTACAAAGCATTTTTATGCGTCTCTCAAATATTTTACACGTGTCAGAAAGGGAATTTAAATGAGATGCGAAATATTTTTTGTAGGAAATAAGTTCGATACTAGATATACTAGATATTAATTCCCATTTTTTTTATTTTGCTTGTTCAGGTTATCGAAGGGAACAAGAATACCTATCTGGAATCGAAGAAGGAACTGGAGCCACCGATATGGGCGAGCAAAATTCGTTTCCTACCCTACAGTTATCATCGTCGCACTGTTTGCATGCGCGTTGAATTGTACGGCTGTCCTTGGAACGACGGCATCGTCTCGTACTCGATGCCTCAAGGTGACAAGCGCAACAACTGGGAATTCTTCGACGCGACTTACGATGGTTATTGGGACGGACAGCTTCTCCGCGGCTTGGGTCAACTGACGGACGGCAAGATCGGGCCGAATGATTTTAAGATGAGTTACTATGACAACTATGACAGAAGTCAGGGATGGGTCGGCTGGAAGAACGATACAAGGTCCGGGCATCCGCTCGAAATCAAATTCGAATTTGACCAAGTCAGAGAATTCTCAGCTGTTCACATCTACTGCAACAATCAATTCCCCAAGGATGTGCAGGTAAGATTTATTCAACGTTTCATATTTTATTATAATCAAGAAATTTAATTTATAAATGTATGACACATATAGAAGCGGAACACGTGGATAATTATACTTTTACATTTATATTTCCGTGGAAACATATCTTATTTTTTGAATTATTTATTTACTTGTATATATGGTATTTTTCACGATAAATGTTTAAGTGTTAGAAAAACACGTTCGAGACTGATTTATGATTGTGACTGATTTATGGTCGATCTTGAGATTCGCGAGATGTCTGCTACTATCATTAGCCACATACGTTCATTTATCATATATCTTGTTATAAACTTTGATTAGTAAAGACCATGGCGACCGTTTCTTGTACGTATTTGTACGATAATAAGCAAGAAAAACTATAAATGGATATGCGTACGGTATAAAGAGGAAATTGGAATGGCTCGCGGCAGTGACTTGCCGGTGAGAACGAAACGGCTGTTGAATAAAGTAGGCGGTTGGCGGAGGACGAAGACGAAGAAAAAGGCGCAAAAAGGAAAGACGGACAGTCGCGGCAAAATGTGCGCGAAGATCCTTCGCCAGCCTTTAATCCACACCCGGAGAATAAAAAAAGAAAGGAAAGAAAAAAAGAAGCCGTGAGGCTGAGGAGACGGTGTATACGGCACGAAATCCAGTTTTCACGTCGGAGTCAAGGTCGGACGTAGGATGGGTAACGAGGCGCAACAACGGTTAGCCCCTGGGTTCGGCTGAAACGGACGGAAGAAGAAAAAGGAAACGACTCGCGGGTTGCTGGATCCGCGTTTCACTTGAAGCGGCTGCGCGGTGGCCATGGCTTTGCCGGAGATGTCAGTTTTTTTCGTGAAAATTTTTCGCCCCTACGATCTTTTTACGCCTGAGTGTTTACATAATGGCTCGCTGAACACTCGGCTCTAACGGCAGTGAGATGTACTTTAATAAAATAATTCGACACTTAGACGCTCGAGATAACAGAACGTAATATTTCAAGAAAGGACTCCAATCAAAACTAAACGAGCAAATTGAACAAAATTGCAAATCGTAGCAGAAAATTGTTTTGTAAATTAAACCATTCAGCAATTGTACCCACTCGATTATATTCAGCGATAATAAATTATTAGAGTTGATTACACGTTGAATCAAATACGAAAAGAAAACATTTTAAATCATCTAGTTACAAATCAATCTTTTCACTGTATAAAAATTTTATTCGAATCAAAAAAATTCGTAAACAAGTATGTTAAAATATACCATATTAATTAAATGCTATTGTATATTAATATATATTTGTTTAAAAAAGAAACTAAAATATTATACATTTGACAACCAAGAATCATGAAACATAATTTTGTTATCAAAAATAATTTTGATTTATAATTATATATAAATGTAATAGCAAATTTCCAACAACCCAATTAAATTATTCGTCATTGTGTAGAAGCTCGTGTAGAAAGTTAATGTGCATGGTGCAACAGTCACATAATTCTCGGCGCACGCGAGAAAGTTATGAAATTTAATACGCCCGACAGTTGGCCGCGAAAATTTTGTACTTCATCGTTATTCCGCGCGGAAATCTCAGTATAATGAGCCGCGAAACATTCTCCTACCGATATCAAGATTTATCTGAATAGAGCGTCTCATTACCCGGCTCGAGCCCGATTGTATGCCCGCGATCGAGCCGACTGGAGAACCGCGGGGGCAGACCGACAACGAGTAGCAGTCAAGGCTGAAGGTGCAGCCACAATGATCCGTAAGGAGAGAGAAAGAGAGAGAGAGATCAACAGAGGGATTCAGGGACCGAGAGAGATAAAGACCCGAGGGAGTAAAACAGAGAGGGATATATCGAGAATAGAGCGAGATACGATGCTCTCTTTCCCTCTCACCCTCTTTCCCTCCCGTGCATACAATGGCAGCAAGCAACGACCGAGAGAGCAGATACGCCACGTATTCAAATACAATACCGACAGTCTGGCAAGTCGGCAGTTCGGCGAATGGGGTTGCGGAGTGGCAGAAGCTACCCCTAAACGACCTCTCCTATTAACAAGCGCGCGCTCGCGCGGATAGGACACGTCTTCCACGAAAGACAGTGCCTCAAAGCATCGCCAGCCGCTTCTCCTCTCCCGTCTCTCGCTCCTCGGCTTCACGGCTGCCACTTCCTCTACGTCGACTTCCTCATTCTCCCGGCGCATCCGCGGGCGGTAGGCTTCAGTACGTCGAAAATCCATACGCTTCCGTCTTTGGATCTAAGGGAGTTAGATAATCTCGGCTTTGTAATCATCGTTCCTAACTCCTATGCTGTCTTAGTTCCATATTCTCTCTCTCTTTCTCACTCTCTATCCTTCGTCCGCCTCACACGGCTCTTGGATTCTCTTCGCTGAATTGTCTTGCGCCTTCGAGGGATGAAATTAGCATTCCACGCGTCCTCGCTCGTCCTCAAAACGCGTCCGTGAGATATATTCCGTATTATCAAAACCGTCGATGTCACATCCCGACACGCCATTAACTAGTTATCTGTTACCTATGGTAATAACGGCGATAATACTGATTACGCGAGCGTAATCGAGTATCTGTGGTATGCTTCCGATCAAATTAATTCCGCATGGTAATTCTAAATACGTAGCGCTTTATCTGATAGATCGAATTGTCTGTAGTGATCAAGCTCGCTCGATAGCCCAGAATGGCGTATGGCGTAGCAAAATGCCTGTCGATAGAATATTTATTCGAGAGAAAGAGAAAGAGAGAGAGAAAATCATATTTTTTTATGATTCAGGTATTTTCCGAAGTCAGCATCATGTTCAGCATCGGCGGCAGGTATTACACGGGCGATCCGATCGCATACACCTATGTAGAGGACAGAATTTTCGAATACGCGAGGAATGTTACAATCAAGCTGCATCATCGCATTGGCAAGTTTGTCAAGCTAAGATTCAGCTTTGCCTCGCGATGGATTATGATCAGCGAGATCACCTTTGACTCCGGTGAGTAGTAACGCATAGCTTCACGGGGATTTTTTCTCGATTTACCTTCGTAGGGTGAATAGAAAGTTTGAAATCATGATGACACGCCTATCAAATCGTACATAATTAGAAATGATTTCTTTCAAAAGATCGTAATGTTGAAATTTTTTTCCAACATAGTTAACGTTTTATAGATTATATGAAATAATATAAAGTTATAAAGAATCTGTTTAATTAATATCCTGATACGTAATGAAAATGAATAATATTAAACATTAAATATAATGTTAACTATAATAATTAAATATATATTAAATATAATATTTTAAATATATTCATATATTCAAATATAATAATAATAATAAATATTAATATATCCAGAAATATATAAAAAATAATTTGCAGAAACTCTATTGCAATTTAAAGATTAAATATCTTTAGAGATGTTACATTTCTTAACATTTAATTTCAAAAAAGATATTAATTGATAGCATCTGCACATCTTCGTAGAAATATAAATTCGCAAAATTTAAATCGCATTATTGTTTATATTATACTCATATCGTTCCTATTTTATACTTTCAATTAATTTTCGAACATCAAAGTTAGTACGAAAACATGCCGCATTCAGAAACACGTGTTTCTATCGTGTTTCAGACATCGCTCACGGTAACTTTACCCCAGAAACACCACCCACGACCGCGGCACCGCGACTGCCGGTTGTAACTCACACTCGCAATCCGCTGCAAGTCGAAGTTCCGGTAGCTAAGCAGGACGATCCCACTTACATGGCTGTGATTATTGGCGTCTTGACCGTCGTAATCCTGCTGCTGGCGGTCGCCATATTCCTGATAGTCACGCGTCACAGACAGCGCAAGAACTTTGCCAGTCCTCTGGGCCCCAAGAGCGCAATTCCGTCGGGCAATCATCAGCATCTGTCGCCGGAATCTGCGTACGGTACCACGGAAAAGGACCCGTCTTTGATGACCTATAGGGTCGAGGAACTCGACGACCGATACGCCGGCACGAAGCTCACGACTCTACCGCGAGATCTCAATGATCGTCTTTTGGGCGATGTCAGACTCGACGAGTACCAGGAACCCTTCCACGAGAACAAGTATCGGGCATCTCCTCATGCGGCGTACTATGGATACAGCACGGTTGTTGTAGACAACAAGGATCTCCACGACAATGTCGAGCAGTCTGGTGAGTCGAACTCCTTGAACTTCTTCAGCGTATCCGTAGTGGTAGAGTACAAACGCGAAGTACGCAAACAATTGTCCAATTGAATCACGTTACATTTAATTTAATATAACCCTTTGCATATGCGTATTTAGTTTTCAAACACAAATTCCGCATAAATTCCGCAAGATTCTAATGTTTAGCAAATATATATATATATGTCATACAATATTAAATGTGTCGCATGAGATAAAAAGATATATTATATATGTATGCAAGACAACGAAAAAAATTCTTTTTTACAGATGCCACTTACGATTACGCAGTACCAATGCCCGTGCCTAGTGTAAGCAGTGATCAGGATAGCGTTTTCTCGAAATCTTCCTCCAGGGGTAGCGCCAAGGTAAGAAACATTTATCTCACAGGGAAATAAAAAATATTTTTAATTTCAAGTTAAGATTTTTGCATATTTCTTTAACATATAAACAATTTTTTTAATTTTTCTAAAAAGTATCAATGACGTTTACATTATCCTCGTAATGATAAAAAATTAATTGAATATAATAAAATATGAGAATTGCATTATTTTTTATTGTTTTTTTATTCAAGAATATTTTATTTCAAACTGAAACGTTTATCGGGGACACAAAAGCGTTCAACGTTTCATGTATTTTTCCGATGCATTAGGCGTGCTTGCAGAGCTTTTTTCCGCCACCCCCGCCCCCTATGAGTGCACCACCCCTTCGAGGCTCCAGCAATTTGACGTACTCGAATCCACCGAGTCCGGAACCAGTTTGCGAGCGTGAGCGCAGAGGCAGTAAGCGCCGGGAGCACTCCTTGCACAGATACGCGTAAGGAATATTCATGGAAAGCGATTGGAAATCGAAGGTATGATGGATTCTTCGTTACTGCGAGCAGCGAAATCGCGTGATCGAGTGAATCTTCTGGCACTGGTCCAATGAAGATTTCTGTTTTATAATATTTCTTGCGAGCTCAACAGATATATTAATAATTTATTAATTTTTTCAATATACATGTGTATTACACATATACTCTCTAATGCGTTTAAAATTCACCCGACTAATAATATATTCTTGCTTTTTTATTATTATCGCGCCGATAAAAAATTCACTTATAATTAACCTCCACGTTTTTACATTCATGTTTTTAATAATAATTAACTCGCGTAACTATTATTAATATTTACCAACGTCTATTGACAAAATTGCATTACCGTTTACGCTTTTCTTGAGAGCAAGAACATTTTTATCAAACTAAATTCACGATCTCGAATTTTGTAAATTCGTGTTGCACATACTTTACTCCATCTGCGTTTCTCACAATTTTCAAACGCAAGAGAAGGAACGCAAACATGGAGCAAAGTAAAATAGATCCAGTGCCGTGAGGATACCGTGAGAACACGCGCGTTGTTAATTCTCAAGGGTGGTAAAGACCCGGTGGTAAAAGTAACACGTTGTACATTTCGGAGTAACCGCTATGAGCGACCGCGCGGCGGAAGAGGTCGTAATCCTGTGCTTGTTACAACGACGATATTTTTTTCCCCGGATTTATAACGCATCGCGAGAAGAACGACGCGTTCGCGGCGCGGTCGCATTCATCGCGAGGAAAACTCTTCTCGACAAAACACTGCCATCGATGAATTTTCGGACATATTGTGCGATCTCGAGGTCTTTTAAAGAGACTCGGGGGATCTACTTCCTACGGATTTAATAATTAAATTGGCATATCAGTTTAATGGTAAAGCGACTACGCGCATATGAGACTCTTCCCGAGATTCGTTCGTGAAATTTTGGCGACGAAAGCCGACGAGATCGCAGTATCGTTGATATTTTCAGTTATTCGCATTTTTTCAAGTCATACACGCACATTAAAAGTCAAGTCTCGGCAATCTTTCTTTTCAGCACTCACTGCCAGGTTTCCTCTTCCATTGGAAGTGGAATTTCGCGAACGACATGTAATGTTGCGAAATGCCACTTTCATCTTTCGGAATGGTACGGACAAACGATGCGTAATCGCTGCGAAGAATTATATACGGATGAACATGTCCGAACGAATTTCCAGGAAGAGTCGCGTTAATGATTCGGTCTGTTCGGCGCGCATGTGCAACAAGATCGAGCTCGCTATCGATCCAGGTGAGACCAGCGGTAACTATCGGAGGGGAAGAAAAAACGAGCGGCTCGGATGAGATATTTATCCGATGGCGCGATCGTTACGTCGGCTCGAAAAGATAATTAATTACTGGCTTGATGGAGAATAAGCGGGCGTTTCAATTATTCGCGCATTCTCGAACCAACGTCAGCGGCGCTTGACATTGGAGAAAAAACGCCGCGCGACGAGATCGACGTGACGATATTGAAAAGAGCGAACGGTAGCGAGCTTCGATCCCGCCTCACACAAGACTGATGTCACATAAATAATTCAGTATCCTGACCGCGCGCGCACGTCGTATTATTTATTGTCGCTTTACAACGTCCCGCGTGACGAATCTTTAATTTATATATACATATATATACATACGAAAAAGTGAATATATATATATAGATATATATACAGAAAGGTAATATACATATTATCTCGTACGACGACGAATTTTTCATATAATATAGATTGTAATAAGCCCAACTTTATTTCTCTATCTCTACCGACATCGCCTTCATGCAACGAGGAAAATCGAGAATTTACCAGCGTAAGGAATCGACAATACAGGGATGAGACAACAATAACTACATGTGTACGTAATTAAAGGAAACGTATAGAGAGACTCGAGATATCGGGTGCGCGAAGATGAGAGACCCTCGACCACATTGTGATATAATGAAAAAAAAAAAAGAGCCCGGCTCGCGAGTAACACACACATATATATGTCTATATATATATATATATGGATGTATGCATGTATGTGTGTGTGTGTGGGCACGTTATATGCTTAAGCATGTCTTGCGCGGTGGAGCTCTCCCTTGAATTTCGCCCTGAAAGAGCAGCCGTAAAGTGCAGCGACTCCCTTCTCCTAGGTCGACGAACCGCGATGGCCGTGCACCTGTGTGTGTGTGTGGTACAAAATTTATTACCGGTTTAAATATCTGACGTGGAACGTGGCACGAAATTTAAGACTCGTACGGCGCGAGCCGTTTAAATAGCGTTCCCATACGATTATTTGGCCGTTTATTGACCGCTGCACTTTCCTTGATTACGGACCGTAATCTATTAAGCTCAATTTTTCTCTCGCATTTCATCGGGCCAGTCTCTCCGGCAACGCTCCGGGGGTACGCTCTCGCAAAATCCCACACGTCCCGGGACCGAGCGCGATGCTGATTGACATTCCGCTATTTTTATCCGGATAACTGCACGAGCACTGCTGTTCGCGCGCGTATCGGTTTTTCGATTAAGCGCGAGACAGTCTGGCTCGTCGAGGAGAAATTTAATCGAGCGTTCCGCAAGCGCAGGTCGCGCCCGTTCGCGGGAAGAGCGGCGCGTAGCGTCTACAACGATCGGAACATTGCTATGTATATTTAGTGTTTAATCGATATCGTCGCCACGTAGGATGTTAAAATTATAAAGAGGAAAACTAAGAGTGACAGCTTTCGAACGCTTTTCGAGTGTAAATATTAACCGTTAGGGACCTCGTACACACACACTTTCTTCAAGCGCCTTAAGTTGGGAGGCACCGAGCAAATAAAATTTCGTCGCAATAATCGTCGTTTTTAAGGGACGGGAGATATCACGTACAAGCGGTTATCGTTACCGAGCGTTACGGATCGACGGCGAAAATCACCCCGTGTCGCCTTCGAGAGAACTCGATCTTCGTCTCTTCTAACGTCGAAGATCGGCGCGATCGTGCTCGCCGAGTTTCCTCCTCGTTGACGTTTCTCGATCATTTTCCCGCTCAACGGCACCGTGATCGATTCGCCGAGCTAACGTTACCGCGACGCGGAAAATTCGAGCACCACGAACTTACCGCACTTTCAGCCGTTGACAGTCCGCCGCTCCTGGCAATAATCGTCAATTTGTCTCAAGCGAGCATGAGCGCACGTGCGCGCGACACATGTCAGAGGCGAGTCAGTAATCCGTAAGGGCGAGAGAGAGATAGCGAGATATAGCGGAAAGTTAGTTTAAACGGAAAGAGAGAGAAAAAAAAAAAAGAGTTACGAGTTAAGGAGCATTCTCCCTCCCCGACCAAGGGATAAAGATTACGAAGGAAGACACTCTCGTACCTGCTCACATCGTACTTTGTAACGCGATATTTTATACATGTCTCTTTTATACCGCGAAACCGCAAGTTGCGCCAACTGCGCCAATTAATATCCTCGCGTTGTGACGCGATCGTTCTTCGAAATCATCCGTAAATTTCTTCACTCCGTGTATTTATAGCTTCTCTCGTTATCACGTTATATTCTTATATGCTTTTTCATATGCTACCTTTCTTTTCCTTCTTTTAATCTCACGCAAATATATATGTATATACGTATCGTTGTCGCACATTTAAAATTTATCCTCGCAAGGGTTTCCTCCTCTTAGATAAATTACTCCGAGATGAAAATAAATTTCTACTCTAGTCGGTTCTCTCTCTCTTTATTCCGATCTAACAATAAAGCAACTAAACGGTGAGAATAGCGACTGCTGAAGACAATGCGTGCAGATCGTCCGAGAGCGAGTATACCTCCGACGTACAAAGACCCCTTGAAGACGTAAATAATGGCACCTAGTACCGCGCGAATGGCCGATCCGTTAACTAGAACTAGTTCGAACAGAACCGGATGCCATTATCTACCTCCTAGGAGTCAGATTAGACATGGTCGTAATTTTGAATTATTCTCGTCAGCGGCGAGAGAAACGTTAATAATCTCGAAACGTAAAGGCATTCGCCCTCGTGGTTCGCGCGCGCGCGCGCGCGACACGGCTAATTCTTATTCGCAATATCGGAGCAAGATAGCACTGTCTTGGCATCGTACGAGTTTCTTGCCCCCGGTACACACGGTTCCTCGCTCCACAGTCGTAAGTTTTCTTCCGGCCGCGCCGTGTCTCGAGAACGATACAACGATACGCGGGCAGGGTCTGCCGATATAACCGAGATACGACACGATCGGTTCTGCATCGGTACGTACGTACGTACAATGTGCAGGAACACGGCGCAGCCGGTGCGACCGGGGGAAAAGTCTCGGGCATAAATCACGCATGCAACCCTTTTTCTATCTGACATGAGAAATGCGGGAAGAAGCTTTAGTTGGACGCGGGGACCGACGAGGGAGCGGCAGACGGGAAGGGGGGGGAACTGGCCCATCTTTTATACGACGACACGTAAATGCGGATGCGTACATGCAATTCTACGAGGGATCGTAAAAAAAAAGGACCGACCTGAGGTCGCTTGATCGATCGACCTTATAGAATTGCATTATGCCCGAATGCATCGTATAGTTAATGGTATCGAATTATATCGAGGAGAACTTGTACAAGAATATTTATTTATATGATTCTCCTCGATTAAGTAGACGGCAGATTTTATAAAGAATAAATTGATATAGTAATAATTTCTTATGATAATTTCTTTTGAATTGTGTATATATATATATTAATAATAATTTTTAACGCACAAGATCGTATAACGCGTTATTACTTTATATCGCAATTTAGGTAAAGATGCAATTCACTTGTACGAATTGCGATTGTATGATGGATTCGTTGATGATTTTTGTGTGAGAAACTCGTCGAGAGCGGAAACCGTTGTACGTAAGATCGATCGCGTGCAATGTCTCGCTTACGCTGGCTTTACGTGTGTTGTACAACGTAGAAAGTCGAAGAGAGCGCGGTGTGTGGGCAGGTACGACAACGACGACAGCGACGATGGTTTATCAATAGATTTAGCACGAGCGATGATAGGAAACTTTCCGCCATCCCGAAAGGTATTAACGCGCCGCATAATCTCTCGATGTATATAGCGTCTGTAATTTATACATACATATGTGTAAACGTATTATAAATACACCCGCGCCGACGCGCATGGGGTGCGACCATTTGTATATATCTGTATTATACAGCGTAAAACCAATAAGAGAGAGAAAGAGAAAGGGAGAGAGCGAAAGAGAGAGAGAGAGAGAGAAAGAGAGAATGGAGGTACAATTGTGAGTGTAATTATATTGATCAATAGCATAACGAGTACCGGATGCATATTTGATATTTGTGTGCCTGTATCCTTTTGTATGCTATCGAGATAGATAAAAAACAAAACTATACATATTATTATATATTGTATCAATTGCGCGCGACGTAGGCAACTACGAGTATCGAGGTGTAATGTAAACAGAACACGAACATACATACATACACATATGACACATGCATACACGAAGTCTCACACTCACACACAGATACGTCGTACTGATCGACGGAATAAAACTTTTAGCGAAGCGAAAATGATTTTACTGATTGTGAGTTCTTTTTTCATTACCTTGGCACACGTAATCAATTTATAATTTTTTATCATTTCATATAAAATGTTCTCTTCTCTTAAAAATATGATTTCTATAATCCGATTTGTTGCTTTTTCAAAAAAAAATTATATATCACCATATGTTAATTATCATACCTTAATTATGAGAATAATTATTTTAACCAATCTCTACATATTGTATTATCAATATATAAATGTAATAAAGAATTCTCAGCCTGCAGTGGATTTGTCGAGAGCCAATTATCCAGGTAATTGTGAAATAATCCAATGACTAGTACGCTTAATTGGAAATCTCTGGAGATTTCATAAATACTCTTTAATCTTAATAAATGAATATACATTGACGGTATGAAACATTGGATGCTTCAAGCCAACTGGGATCCGCTGAATCTATTGATTAACTTTCCATGAAATGATTTATCTTTCTATCAAATATTCTGCAAAATACGCACATATTGATTAAAATATTATCGATGTATTTCAAATTACAAAAGTATCGTATACGTTATATTAAAAATTCTTTTATTTTAACGAATAAATTAATTGAACTCTTTAAAGTTTGATTTTCAATTATATAAGATATGAAATGATAAATTTCAGATTAAAAATTAATATATATCACTAAATAATAATTCACGCAAGAGATTCAGCCTTTGATTTTTTTTTGGCACTATAATTAAATTAATTAACATAAATTTTACGTTACTTCAATATTAATAATAATAATTTAATCGAGAATATCCAATTTAAAATTTACTATGTCATTTTTAATAGCAAGTACATGCAAATATATGCGTAAATTTTCATTTTAGAGATTTTACAAACTATCTCGACGTACTCACGCATAAGTTACGTCATACTGGGCTTTCGCAGTGTCTGTCGTCCTTTCATCGGACTAATTTGGCACCGTCAACGATGTCATTTGTCATTCTAATGGCCAGAACGACGACCGCGTTTTTAATGACTCGAGGGTGGGAGCGACGCTCTGTCTCCTTTCCATTCCAGCGGCTTCCCTCTTTCTCCTTTTTTTCGCAAGCTTCTCTTTAATTTGCCCTCGACATGCTGCTTTACGCTTCATCTTCCAACCTATCTCGTCGTTCTACTCTTCCCTCACCCAATTCAACCATTTTCTTTCGAGAAAACGTAATGTAAAGTCAAGAAAGAGGCTCGTGACTCTCGTCCTTCTTCTCTTTTCTCTTTATGTATATATTCTCTTTTCAGCGAATTCGTATTTTGTCTAGCCAGTCGCGTTTTAAAGCTTAGACGTACAAAAGCATCACTTTACTGATGTATTTTTTTCGTCTATAATACCGTTTTACAAGATTGCAATGCCTCATTATTTTACAGATCCCATTATTTTCATTGATTCTCTTGGGTGGATATCAATTTCAAAAGTATCCACA